GTTTGTTGTGGTGCGGTCTCGTCTCTGCTAACTGTAATATTGAGCTTCTTTGGCTTCTTGTTTCCAGAACGAGTCCAATAATTTATCGCATCCAAGTATTTAGCCAAATAAGAGCTCCATCCCTTAATAATATCTCTTAAATCAGCCAATGATATGTAATTTATTGTGTCATATACTATTGCCTTAAGGGATGGGATCTGAAGCTCGACGAGAAGCCAATGGTTACGTTCCAAAATAGGGATAAACACCTGCAATCATAAGTAATAATTCATCATTTGCGCACTTATTTATGAATACCTTTAAACTCAATCTAAAATAAACACTAACCTTATCGACCTCCCACCATGCAGGATAAAGTTTAGCTTGTCCATTGCCCAACGCAAATGATTCATCTCGTTGATTCTTCAAGTGAACGACGTTAAAAGACGTCGGCATAATTGTATACCGTGTATTTCTTTTATTTTCCTTAAGTTTCCTAATATTAGAAGACGTGACACCCACGCATCGATATGCTGTTTTACAAAAAAAGACATATATTAGTAACTTACATAAATTTACAAAAAAAATAATCAAATGAAAATATAAGAAAAATATAAGACTTACCCCTCCATCGAAATAGCCATTGTCTTCGACCCCTAATAATACGCCCCACCAAGACCGATCAAGCAACAAATAGATATCATCATTGAGCTTGCATATGTCAGTGAAACACCCCTGGCTTCGCTCATGTAGATAAAAATCAACTGCGATCTTAGCCCAAAGGGTGTTATCCAGAATTGTGCCCGGTAGTTGTTTCCTCTCCTCTTCAGATACCGGTATGGTACTGGCCGGTAACTCATACGAGAGCCAACTTGAATACATCATGTCCGGCACGTCAGAGGGTTTCTCAAGAATCCTACATATGACGCCATGTGAATCGGACTCTTGAATGGTGGGAGGGACCTCTTCAACGATGACAGTGGCCTCTTGAACGGTGGGAGGGGACTCTCGAGGAATGATAGGGGCCTCTTCAATGATAGGAGTGGACTCTTGAGGGATGATAGGCGAGTCGGGCTTCTTCTTGCGGTGTCTTCGCACTATTGGGGTATACGGAGACTTAATAGCACGTGCACGCCGTCTGATGCGTGAACTCTGTCGTGCAAGAAAAACCCGACGTAAAGCATCCACCTTATCGGTCCGCTAAATAAAAATACAAATATCAGTAAATAAACAGACATGATATTTAAACAGTGAAAACAAAGATAAATATATTTCAAACTTTCAACCAAAAGACAAAACAAAGACAAATACTAACTTCACAGTGTTAAAGTAAAAAGTTTAGCAGTTTTGGCAGCAACCGAATAAATTTACTAAGCAATCTAAGTGAAATGGTTAATTTAAGTGAAATTACGAGTAAATTTATCATCAAGTTAAATATGGAAAATCTTAAACTTACCTCGTTGCGTAGAGTATGAACCTCATTCTGCAACGATACTACCATCTCACGTAGAGCGGCAACCTCACCACGTAAAGTAGACACCTCCACACGCCATGCACCATCGTTATCGCGTAGAGTACCGATCTCCTCACGCAAGGCATTGACCTCATCACGTAACTCCCTTGACTCATCCCGTGGAGGTGGAGAACAGGGAGATAGAAGTCGTGGCATCTTTGTCGGTCGCCTATCATGAGGTGATGGTGAGAAGAGACTCGATGATGTGACGGGATAGGTGATGGCTCTCGTTGTAGAGGTGTATAGTCGGGTCGATCAGGTGATGGCTCTGGGTGAGGTGATGGCTCTCGAAGTGGAGGAAGTGGAGGCTGCTCATCATTCGTGCCATCAAAAAAACGCTGACTAGCTTGCCACCAATCAGTGGCAAGCTCAGCCTCCGTGGGTGTCAGTCTCATTAATGGAGTGTTGGACTCCTAAAAATATAAAAACTAAAACAAAGTTAAACGTCTACTATTAATAACTTGTTTATATATGATAGTATTTGTGTTAACTTACATTATTTATTGTCGCATATGGTATTAAGTCTTCCCAATCCAACATACGTTTCCTCTTCCAGGAAATAGCCCTAGGAATATCATCTGAGGATTTTAATGCATATGTCCGCATGCTGGGGAAAGCCTCGAATATCCAAATCTACAAACAATATAAACAAACATTAGTAATGTTAAATAATTAATTATAATTTTGAAAACATTATAGAAATTCTTACCTTAAAGGCCCAAACAAAGCCTGACAAAGTGTATTTCGACCCATCGCCCCGCAAACTTTTGCGGTCATCAAAGGCAGACGACAACTTAGTCCAGGTAGCTTTCCATATATACGAACCCCACGGAAACAGATTCCATGCATTTAGGTCCTCTACCAATAATATTAGCTCCTGAGGAATAGGTTGTCTGGCCTCTCTGCCTAAAAAGCCGGCATACAAAAGTAGTAGAAGGCATACTCGGACAACATCGACGTCATTCATCCGAGTAAAACCATCTTTCTTATTAAACAATTTCTTCATGTCGTCGACGTGTAAGTTCGGCTTCTCTATTGACTCATCAGGAAAAACCCTGGATAACCATGATGGGCGGGTGATATGACGAGTGTACCGGCCTACATAATTGTGTCCGAATCGTAGACCAGTGATTAAGCAGAACTCCTTCCGCCCAAAACAAGTATACGCCGGTGGAAAATAAAACCATATCTCTTCCTCACCACGTTGTATACTGTCGGGTAGATCGCTAGTCATGGTCTGAAGCCACAAATGGGTCAAACTAGCATCTCCACCCGGATGTTGTACTCTCAGCCATGGCCCGAAGCAGGTTTCTTCAAACAATTTTCTTTGTGCAGGTGAAAGCTTCGAAGCAATTGTAGTGGCTAAGCTAACTTTATTCATTAATGTCAATGAAGCCGAAAAAAATTTCTACAAAAAAACAATAAACATACCAAGTTAGATATACCAAAAATTACACTGTCAAGATATACCAAAAACAAACAATAAACATAAATAGTAGTTATTCTTGAAACTAAAATTTGCAACACTGTTTTGTCTTTTGGTTGAAATGAAATCGCAACGAGATAATGAGAATCGCAACGCGGAAATGACTATCGCAACGAGAGAATCGCAACGCGAAATGACTATCGCGACCAGACAATCGCAACGCGAAATGAAAATCGCAACCGCGAAATGAAAATCGCAACGCGAAATGAAAATCGCAATGCGATTTTGGTTTCGCGTTGCGATAGTTATTTCCGCGTTGCGATTTTCATTCTCGAAACTATTCTTCTTCTGCATTACTTCAACCAAAAGACAAAGCAAAGACAAATACTAACTTCACAGGCTAAACAATTTAGCAGTATTGGCAGCAATCGAATGAATTTAATAAGAAATCTAAGTGAAATGGTTAATCTATTATTGAAATTACCAGTAAACTTATCATCAATCTCAATATGAAAAACCTAAAATAATGCAAAAATTTCAACAAAAAAAAAACTAACCCTCGGAGGTTGATTTTCCATTTCTGAATGATTGTGAGGGATTTTTGAGTGTGAATGGTTGTGAGGGATTTCGCCGGCGATGGGGACGGAAATCTTCGGAGATGGGGACGGATTTCGCCGTAGAGAGTGAGAGATGGAGATGGGACTGAGTGTTGTGTTTTTGGGTTTGAGGTTATGAGTTGCGATTACTGTGGACGGTTCAGTTTTCGAGTTATTAAGAAAAAATTCGTGTTTGGAATTTGGAAAAAAAAATACGCGTTGTTACGAATGGCGCTATGTAAATCGCGTTGCGAAAGCCAGAATCGTGTTGCGAAAGTCAGTATCTCGTTGCGATTTTGTATTATCGCATTGCGATAGTAAGTATCGCATTGCGATTTTCCCAATTCGCGTTGCGATTTACTTATTCGCATTGCGAATTGGGAAAATCGCAACGACACTGTATACCATCGCAACGCGATTTCCAACTATCGCAACGCGATTTCCAACTATCGCAACGCGAAATGCAACGCGAATTTGCGATAATGGAGATCGCGTTGCGAATTAGCGATCGCATTGCGATTTTTGGTCATTTTGGCAAATCCGGAAAAAGTTGGTTAAAATCGTATATTATGGGATTTTTGGTCACTGAGGTTATTTTCTCATTATTTTATCAATGAGTTGAATATTAAAGATTAAATCAAAAATAATTTATTATAATCGACTCATAAAATATATATCGATCATAATATACTAATATCAATAAAAGGATAACATTAATAATTTTTTTTGAATTTTTTTAGTTAAAAATATTTTTAATAATTATAATAAATTCAACCAAGGCTTTAAAATAGTAATAAACTTAACCATTCATTAGAACTTTGTTGTTTATTATTATTAACCTGGAAAAGTAGTTGAAGGGCAAGGCAGAGACCATTGGCAGTAAAGTTAATGTTATTCGTAAAATAAAATAGTGACATAAAATATCTAAAATGATAAATATATGTAATAATTAGTAATTCATGAGTCCAACTATGCAAATTGTACATCCCAATAATAAACCATATTGGATTTTCACAATAAGGTAGCTAATTTAGAATATATGGTAACAAATGTATAACACAATTGTATATTTAAGTATTATTTTGTTTTTAGAAATGGAATATTCATTATCTAGAAATTTTTATTTTTTTAATAATAACAATTGAATTTCATTAATAAAATTAATGAAATGAATCAGAATTATAACACACTTAAACATAAAAAGAAAAGTGGCGCAATAGTCACCCAAAAATTCATAAAAAATAAAAATATTAAACTCAAATATACACAAAAAAATTGAAATCTTTCTTACTTCTAAAAGTAATTTTCTTTTATGTGCAATTTAATCCATCGACTTTATATTTATTCAATTTGATTATTTAACTGTAACTTTTACAAATCTTTCTTCTCATCAATTCATTGATTTCTTTATAATTCAATCAATATTTATCTTCAAAATCACTTTTTATTCTATTTATTGACATATTTTCCAAAAAGACATTTCAACCTTAAAGCTACGTTTGGCACCGTTAGACCATCGCCAAACAAAGAAATATTGTTTTCTCTGTCGTTCCCGTTTTCCCATTGTTGTGATCTTCGTCTGACCATTGAAATGTCAAGGATAAAAACCAGGGTTTGGATTTGGATCAAATTTACCAAAGATGGTTGCAATTTCCACTCATTACCGTTTCACCGTTACTTTACAGCAGAATCCTCAGTCCTGGCCAACCTGCTCCGCAGTATCTATAGGCACAAGGATCGAATTAGCTACCAATAGTCTTGGCATGAACATAAACCACCTTCAAACCGATGAAAACGAATTCGATCTCTAACAATAACCACCCTGATCAACAATTTGGAAACCATTTTTATCCAACTGTGGCAATCATGGCAAACTCGGAGGTTTTTCGATATCATAATTTCTGTTCCAGGACTTGTTTTTAGGATTCCGTAGGCCAGTGCCAACCTCTCACTATGGTGATTCAAATTTCCTTCTTTTTCCTCTTCAGAGATATCCATTAAAACCAACTCCGTTTCAGGAAGAAACCCTTTCGACTTTGTCCGTCGTATCAGCCCCTCTAAAACTTTGTATAGTCCCTCCGTTTCAGGGTGAGATCTATCACCGGCCTTGAACCGGTGAATGACTCCTCCCAACTCGATCCAACTCTTACCTCTACTTTTCCGAATCCCCTTTTTCTTCATCATATCTCTGACTCCTTCGGCGCTTTCCCATCTCTTCATCGAGCAGTACATATTTGACAGCAAGACACAATCACCACTCTTAAGACGTGATATATTCGCAATGGCAACTTCACCAAGCTCTGGTTTTCGATAAGTTCTGCAAGCACTTAAAAGTAACCTCCAAATAACAACATCTGGCTCCATAGGCATTGCTTCAATAATGGCATAAGCCTCTTCTAGCTGGCCAGCTCGACCGAAGAGGTCAACCATCGCCCCGTAATGCTCAATTTGTGGCTGAACCGAATAGTGACTACTCATCAAATTAAAATATGTCTGACCCTCTTCAACTAAACCAGAGTGACTGCATGCAGTTAAGATTCCGATAAAAGTAATCGAATCAGGTAAAATATTTTCATCCTCCATCTTTGAGAACACCGCAATTGCATCGAAAGGAAGGCCATGAGTTGCAAGCCCATTAATCATTGCATTCCAAACAGACACATCACTTCGATCTGCACTATTAAAAACTTCCTTTGCAGTTTGAATTCTACCACACTTCGAGTACATGTCTATTAATGCCGAACTCAGTATGGCATTCAGTTCAATTTCTTTCTTGGTCATCAGACGATGCACCCACAGAGCATGATTAACAGCTCCAAGTCGTGCACACACCGTCATAACCGAAGCAAAAGTAAACTTATCCGGTTCCAGATTTGAGCCAAGCATCTCACAAAATAAGCTTAAAGCCTCTTCGAAGCGTGCATTTTTAACATATCCTCCGATCATTAAGTTCCAAGTCATCAAATCCCGAACAGGCATTTTTAGGAAGAACTTCTTAGCGAAACCATGTTCCCCAAGTCTCATTAGATGTTCAATTACTAAGTTTGCAACGACCACATTAAAATCGGATCGAAAAACTTGATCGAGAAGTTTCCGAGCTAAAACAAGGCAATCACATTGCAAATAAGTACTCATCAAAGTAGCTACAAGAGATGGATAAGTCCCATACCCTAGTTTAAAGATTCTTGTGTGGATTGCACTTGCAGTCTTATAATCTGAGGAGACCTTGCAGGCTTCAAGAACATTACACACTGTACGATGATCTGGAAAATGGTATTTTGCAACATTAAAACATACCAATGGGGCTTCAGATACAAATCACAAAAATGGTAACTTTTACCTTGAATTATAAAACCGAATTCAACTTTTAGTAATTCAAATTCATAATTCAAGTGTTTTATAACATGCTGGGGGTTCTTCAAACTGCTTTAACATTCAAATCAATAGACAGCAAAAGAGCGAAAACGAGAATGAAAGATATATATAAAAAAGATATCAATTGAAAGAAATAAGTAGAAAGAAAATCTAATGGGTACCTCTAGAATCATGGAGGAAATCATAAGCTGATGAAGATGGAGTGTGAGAATGGGTCGATCTGATTACAGCGGATGTGGTTTGTTGAGTCAGCTTCTTCACTCCATTTCGCTGCATATTTCGTTCTTCTTTTCCCCCTTTCGTTTGGACTGAGCTTTGCTAGAAAATAATGAAATCGGATGGATTATTTTGGAAATGTTGAGCCCAGTACTTAGGATTTTTAAAGCCTGGCTTTCATTGTTCAAGCCCATAAATACAAATTTAAGATCCAATCTATTATTAATTAATTTATCCGAAATATATATATGAAATAATATATTATCTTTTATTAATCAATGAAATGTATGTTAAATAATATTAAATGAGTTTTTTATTATCTTATAATATATATAAGGTATTATATATTTAAAAGACTTAATTATTTGATAATAAACATCAATACACTCCTACAAACATCATGTTTGAACCCATAACCTTAAGGGTACGTTTGGGTCACAGAATGTAAGATTATCAGTGGGAATAAAAGATTACCAGTGGGAATAAAAGATTACCAGAGAATAAGATTACTGAGAATGTTGTATTTTGTGTTTGGTTGGTTTAGCAGGAAGGTAAGATTACAGTGTTTGGTTAAAGGAATAAAAGATTATTGGAATGTATATTTTACCAAATTGTCCTTATTATATATTTATTTTTTAACAAGTTGAATTCAACTATAATATTACTATAATTAATTTATATATTTTATTTAAAAATTTAAATTCATAAAATTTATATAATTTTTTTTTACAAAATTGAAAAGATAAATAGGTTTAATGAAAGAGTAAAATTTTATTTTAATCCCTGAACTTCATATAAAATTTTAATTATGGATTTTTTTTGTAAATCTAAAATAATTTAAGGATAAATTTGTAATTTAATCTTCGTAGAATTTTTATTATTCAACGAAATAAGAATGATATTTTTTTAAAAGAAAAAAAATTCAAGGGCATTTTAGTCCAAAATGTTGGTAATCCAACAATATCTAAGGGAAGGGAGGTAATCACATTCCCGGTAATATACCCCCAAAATACCACTGTTGGTAATAAAAGATTACCGGGAGCTGGGAATGTTGGCCAACCAAACGGGAGAATGAGAATTTCATTCTCTCGATAATCCCACATACCCCGAACCAAACTCACCCTAAGGGATAACAACAATATTTTTAATCACTAAAGTCACTTGGTTCATACAAATAATTTAATTTAAATATAAATAAAATTTATATAATTATAGAGCAAATATATTTTATCGATTGTCCAAGTTGCTCATTTTTGTTCCCTCGTATTCCCTTAGATATGGATTATGGACTCATCAAGAATATTCTCCTTTCTTTCCTTCCTAAAGTACTTTTTTCTCTTCATTTCTAGGATTATGATCAGATTTAGAATTTATATAAAAAATATATTATTATATTTATCTTTTATTATGTATTAAAAAATATTTGTTGTAAAACAATTAATATAATATTAAATATTAAATAGTATATGTAAAATATGGTAGGTAAGTTAAAAAAAAGAGCCATTATATAGTTGTGAGAATCTGGTTTTAATAATCAACTGTGGCCCCATCACCCTTAATATATGTGAAAAAACAAACTTGGCTGTAGGAGTTACAAAGAAAACTTCGTTGTCAAAATCTGGTTTTAATTGCCAATTGTGGCCCCATCCATCACCTTCAAAATCCCTCAACCCTCACTTTTCAGTTTTCACTCAGTCCTTTTCATTTCTTGTGTTTTTTGTTAGAACTGAACCAGTAATGGCAGCATCTGATGTTGACCAGCAGCCAGGTGACGATAATCTTTGCATGTTGTGCAAAGTCGGTTCAAAGCCAGGTGAGGGGATAATCCTTTGCCTTTTCTGTAATGCACCTTGGCACCAACCTTGCCTACTTTCCAGTCGTGTATCCCGTCCCATCGATGATGATTTCTGGGGTTGCCCTGAGTGTGAAAATCGTATTCTGCAAGACGATCTAAATCTATTCACCTTCGACCTTGATAACGACCCCGCCACTTCTTCTTTCGCTCCCGCTGAGAATAGCATGATCTCTAAGATTCTGGAGATCCAGGCCGATACGTCGCTGACGGAGGAGGAAAAGGCGAGGAAGAGACAGGAGTTGGTTAGCCGGATACCCCTTGTTGAACCGACGGAACTAGAAGCCAAAGACAAGACTATACTGGAGTCCGACAACGAGCCGTCGAACGTTTCTGATGAGAGCTTAAACTGTTCTATTTGTTTACACATGCCTGACAAACCTGTTACGGTGAGTTTTTTTTTACCTTTGATCTTTCATTATTTTTGAGCAAAGATCGAAGTTTTAATGTTTCTGGTGATTTTTTTTTCTTTCAAGACGCCATGCGGACACAATTTTTGTCTGAAATGTTTCAACCTGTCGATTCGACAAGGGAACCGAAACTGCGCCTTGTGTCGTACACAGATACCAACGACAATGGTGAACCAACCTCGTATCAACCTGACGCTGGTGTCTGCCATCCGAATGGCAAAGTTGTCCAAATCTACTGGTTCGGACGCTGGCTCTTCAAAGATTTACGAACATGTTCACAACCAAGATAGACCAGACAAGGCTTATGCAACCGAGCGGGCTAAGAGGAGTGGGAAGGCCAATGCTGCGAGCGGTCGAATCTTTGTGACGGTGCCGACCGATCATTTTGGTCCAATATTGTCTGAAAACGATCCGACGAGGAATCGAGGAGTGCTGGTGGGGACACTTGGGAGGATAGGTTGGAATGCCGGCAATGGGGTGCTCATTTTCCTCCTATTAAAGGCATTGCAGGCCAGAAAGATCATGGTGCACAATCCGTCGTGCTCTCCGGAGGTTACAAAGATGATGAGGATCATGGAGAATGGTTCCTTTACACCGGAAGGTAATTTTGTATTCATAATTTCCTTAATCTATTAACAATACGCACACATAAGAAGCAATTGTTTCGATCCAGAATTCTTTAGAAAAAAAACTCATTTTTACTACCGCTCTATTCATGCATTGAAAATGTAGTGGTGGGAGAGACCTAAGCGGAAACAAAAGGACTAACAAGGATCAATCTTTTGATCAAGAGTTCAAGAGTGGGAACGAGTCGCTTCGTCTCAGTTGCAAAAATGGCTATCCTCTTCGAGCCATAAGGTAAATTTCATTGTTTAAACTTTATCTTTATAGCTTTTCACTCCAGTATATTTGATTTTTTATTCAACTTAAATAGCAATTTAGCTGCTTCTCTAAAACTTAAGAGAAAAAAAAATCCTTTTCAGGAATCTATTTAATTTTTAAATTGGACACCATACAAGGCATAAAATATAAGTTTAAATTAGTTTTAGGCAAAAGAGGTAATTATGAGATAGAAAACTTGAAAAAACTCGTGTTTTTCTCATATTGTCTGTTCATTAAATTTAAAATATCATATATCAAAAAATTCAAATCAGATTTTCGAAAAATACAGTAAAAACTATCATTTTTATATATATATATTTATAATTTGCTTATGTTATTACCCAAAGAAAGCAGAATCTGCTTCACAAGAACCAACTATAACCTCAAGCTGAAACCAAACAAAAGCATGCTTCCAGCTCTCAACAACAGTATATTACCCTATACAAATCTCAATCAAAATAATCGATCCTCTAATCTTTGCGCTACCTATCATTGACCATTCCTTGCTGAATAGGTATCCCCATGAACCTCAACCGAACTTCTGCTTTTATATTTCTAATGATCTTGTCCACATTCATTTTAGCCCCGCCAAAGACCCTTCTATTTCGCTCCTTCCAAATATGACCAAATATGCGTTCCATGCAACCTTCAACAGGGTGAATAGAAAAGCCTTACCCTTTAGTTTCTCCTATGCCCAAGAGACCTCCTGCTCCTAGGTTCCAATTGTCCGTCATAGCTGGCATAGCTCTAAAATGCTCCTCCACACTTCCCTCGAGTACTCGCATCCAGAGAACATGTGATCTCTAGATTTCATACCATCAGGGAAAATACAACAATCTCCACGAACTACAATGCCCCACCTTAACAGCCTATCCTTCGTGGGCAATCTATTCAACAGAGAAAACCAAACGATGACAACATTCTTAGGAATATAAAGCGGAAACCAAATAAGTTTCGCCTAATTCACCCCAGCCTGATTCCTCCCGAGCACCTGCCAGGCCTCATTAACCTTATACCTGTTGCGGAAGACGGCTATCGGATAGAGAAAAATTACAACTGATAATTTGAGAAAATAAAAATGAAGATAAAAAGAGACACAAAATTTACGTGGAAAACCCCTAAATAAAATAGGGTAAAAACCACGGGCAACGGTAGAAGAATTTCACTATGAGAAAATAGGAATTACAACCTCTCTCGATCTACCAAGGAGAAAACAATGATAATTCTCTCTCGATAAAAAGGAGAAAACAACTCTCAAGAAACTCTCTAAATTCTCTCTAGTATTGGAAGAAAGCTAGAATGCTTTGGGATGGTTTTGAAACTAAATGAGCTAGGGTATTTATAGTTGAAACTTAAGGACTAATCTTATAAATACCCTAAAGTTTAGTGACTAAAGTTTATAATTTACCCATTTAATTTTCAAACATTATTGCACCTAATTTTGACATTGTTGCACCTAATTTTGACATTGCAATATTAGGTGCCTAACTTGAACCAATTTTCCAAGCTTTGACATTTCAACAATCTCCCACTTGAAGATTTGATTAGAACAATCATATCTTCACACCATTTTTTTTACCTTGTACCATCATGTTGCTTACGTCTCTGACAGGCCACAAGAGGATCGACACCAGGTAAATTTATCAGCGTTGATCGCCTTCGTCATGAAATCTGCTATGTTATCTTTGGTATGAATCTTCTGTATATCTACCGTTCCTTCTTCCACCTTTTCACGAATGAAATTGTACTGAACTCGTATGTGCTTAGTCCTTGAATGAAATGCTGGATTCCTTGCTAGATGCAAGGCGCTTTGACTGTCACAAAACAGAGAGACATACTCTTGATTGTGCCCAAGCTCCTCCAATAGCATCTTCAACCAAATTGCTTATTTACTGGCTTGTGTAGCTGCTACATATTCTGCCTCTGTTGTGGACGTAGCCACAACTGACTG